TTAAATGCAATGACTCCCCTTTTTTTATGGATCATTTGTGTGATGGAGGCGTGGTTGTAGAAATTCTCCGGGCTTAGTTTGGGCGGTGGTGGTGGAGGGGGCCCAATGTGAGGTCTTCTCATGGGGCGCTCCCGGCCCGTGACAGTACATGGGGAGTTCATAGGTCAGACGTCTAGCCTGCAGGAGAAACCGTTGTGGGCTTTAAAAGTGATGCGAGGTTAGGCGAGGTGTAGAGCTGCTGCTGCTGATGTCAGGACGTGACTCCTTTACATTTACGTTTTTAAATGTAAGCAATTATTAAACAAACAGAGCCGAGGTCACCTATAAGAAGGGTTAAAGGGGAACGCTTTGTGGGGTCCTGTCACATGGGGAGGGTACACGGACGTTAGCAAAAAAACAAGGTCCACCCTAATTTAAAGCAACAGAAACACACATTTTATTTATTGTTGCTTCAGTGAAATGTATTCCCCCTCTTCTTAGACGATTTGACCTTTTGTGTTGTTGTGATGTTTACTCAGTGAACTGAACTTAGTTAAGTCACATTTGGTAGAGCTGCACAAAGTTACCCAGAACTTCCAACTTTTTTTAACCAGGCTGTAAACATGTTGTGTGGTCTCTCTGTTTGTCCAGCTCTCTGAAAGCTCCTGCTTTCACTCCTACAACAACAGAAGTCGTGTTAAAGGGGACGTATGATGAAAAATCCTCTTCTACAGTGTTTATGAACATTTATTTTGGTAACCTGAGTGACTACAGATCCAAAAGCTGTGAAATAAATCCATCCAGTCCTTTGTTTGTGGTCTGCATAAGTCTTACAACACAGAGAAAAATGCTCCGTTTATAATGTGCTCTCCTTGTGATGTCACAGTGGGATTCTGGTTAAATAAAATCCCCTCTCCTCCCCTCCCCTGATATCTCCACCCATAGACTCCACCCCCAGAGAAAAACCTTTGAGTAGATCCGCCATTTTTACTCTCGCTACAGAGGAGTGATGTCTACGGGGAAAACTCGGGGGGGGGTCATTACATTTAAAGAGACACACACACCAAAATGGAGCGTTCTGAGAGAGCTGGTTTCTACAGGGTCACAAACCTCCTCTGGTGCTTGATTCATGTTATATTTTGACCAACAGCACAGATGTTTCATTTAGACTCTTTGAAAAGGTGGAAAAGGAGGATAATATGTGCTCTTTAAACATAAGGTATAAATAACTAGCCGTGTGGGCATGCTTTGCTGTTTTACATTTTCTCCTAATAAGGGGGGAAATCTTTTGAACTCTTGTTAGAAATCTCTTTGCTTATCGAGCATCTTCAAACACTAGCATACTCACAAACATAAACCACATTAGTGTCGATAGTGTAGCCCCTCTGGGTTTATTTGGCTTCTCCAGCACATTTCTTTCAAAATGTATATTTTGTTAATTAACTAATCATTATGTACTGTCTGTTCTTTCATTGATCTATTATGTTTGTTTTTTGTTTTGTGTTTTAAGTGCAATAAAATAAATCAAAATAAAGAAAATAAAGAAGAAGTAACCATGGCAACCACTCACGGGCTGAGTCCATCCTGCTAACTGTGGCTGTTTTTGTTATTTCTGAGACGCCTCAGAAATGACCCTCTTCCTGCTTCAACATCTACCGTGCAGCTCAGAGGATGAAACGGGCCCGTGCTGCACGGATACGACCTTTTTTCAAAGCAACAGGAGTCATTTAGAATGACGTCATAAAGCGGTCCACTTCCTAGTTTGAGCACGCTTGTGTTTGAAGTGTCTGACATATCTGGAAATTAGGTCAGCGCTGTTTCTTATTAAGAATGTGCAAAACGACAGTTTGTAGTACCGTATTTTCCGCACTATAAGGCGCACTTAAAAGCCTTTAATTTTCTCAAAAAACGACAGTGCGCCTTATAATCCGGAGCGCCTTATATATGGATCAATTGGTTAATTGGTTGATCCATACTGGTTGTACACGGCGCTCAGCGACACTGACTCGGATAATGACGAGAGGGAGCCGGGCATGTTGGATGCCGTACTCGCCCAACTGTTCAATTCGGACACTGAAGAAGAAGAATTCGAGGGATTCGTGGACGGGGAATGAACTGAAGAAGTGAGCTTTACGTGTTATACGTAACTGAACAATGTTGAGTTATGCACTAACGCAGGGGTGCCCAACCTTTTTTGAACCAAGATCTACTTTTAAAGTTCCCAGTCTGCCGAGATCTACCAGTCCACATAGTGAGCCATAGCCTTTACCAACAGCCTACAAACGCATTTAATACTCACACAACAAACAAAAATAATAAATGAGAGTTCTGTAAAAAATAATGCAGACTACAGACTACAGCAGGCTGCTGTGAGATGATTTTGCTTTTGTTAAATTAGCTGCAGACACGGTGAGAGTGAACGGAGTAAAGTCCAACCGACTGTTTGACCGGGTCACGTGTGTTCCCACCTCGGTCCGTACGGATCACGGATCAACTGTGTGCTGTAGCACTAAAAGTAAAAAGTAAAAAGGTTCGCGTGGTGGCTGGCGCTCCAGTGCAAGTGTGTGTGTGTGTGTGTGTGTGTGTGTGTGTGTGTGTGTGTGTGTGTGTGTGTGTGTGTGCGTGTGCGTTTGCGCTGTTGTTGGTGTGTCTCGTCCCCCGCGATGCTCACAGTCATGACAGCAGAGAGGAGCAGAGAAAAGTAGCTGCAGCTTCATCAAATGCGCTTAATACTCGTAGCATAGTTTCTATATATGACTTTTTGGTAAAACATTTAGCCCCCCGGTTTTACCTGCACGTCATTGCGCATGCCTGCACTCTCTCTTGCGCGCGCTCTCTCTCTCTCTCGCTCCCCCGCTCGCTCTCTCGCTCGCTCTCTCATGCACGCAGCAATTTCATGAATAAATGAAAAATTAAATACACACAGGTCGGAAGTATACTTGGGCTCCCAACACAGGTATCGTGTGTGGGAAACAGTGCAATGAGATGAAATTGAAATCACTTTTCTATTTTACAATTGTATTTTATATTGACTAAACATCTGGATGGACTGAGAATCAGTCAGCGATCTACCTGTCGATCGCGATCGACTGTTTGGGCACCCCTGCACTAACGTTTGAATTAGCGGTATCAGACTGTGTTTCTTTTACGTGTTTACAACTGAACAAGGCTGGGAGATATTGTGAATATGCACATTAACGTTTGAACAATGTTGAGTTATTGTGAATGCACTACGTATAAAACTACGTTTTGAGAGTTAAGAGAAACGTCAAAGAAATAATTTATTATTTGGGGAAATCGTCTTATGTACTTTTGTTTTTGTAGTTTTATACGTTACGTTTTATACGTATTTATATTTATATATTCACAATATCTCCCAGCCTTGTTCAGTTGTAAACACGTTCTATTCTATGCGCCTTATAATCCGGTGCGCCCTATATATGAAAACAGTTCTAAAATAGGCCATTCATTGAAGGTGCGCCTTATAATCCGGTGCGCCTTATAGTGCGGAAAATACGGTATTATATTTGAGACCGCTAATGTTCTTTGAGTTACCCGGAAATCCTAAATCTAAGACAGGAGCCCTCTCAGTGGAATGTGTACAATGGGGTCCCTGTGTCCAGAGAGTTGCCCAGGGACATCTGGACAAGAGATTGTATCTGTGACCTGTGTTGTCCTTTGAGTTTATGACATACATATGACATACATATATCTAAGACAGAAACCCCCACAGTTGTAGGAAGAGGGGTTGTCCTGAAAACAAACAGATGTCCCCATGTTGTTCTCCTGTGGGGTGTGTCCATAAGTACCAGAGTTTCTGTGTGTTCGGGGAGATCACTTTTGGCTGTGTCTCTCCCAGGTCGAACCATGGCGAGCCTGGCGATGCTGTAACTTGTTTGTCAATAAAATGATCATTTGTAAGCAAGTCAGTGTCAACAGCGAATTTCTTCATCATCAAACATATCAACAACAAGGGAATCCACATCATGTTCTCAGCTCCCTGCAGACCGTACGCGAGTACACATGAATCGTGACCGAGACCACCTCTTCAACTGGACTCAGGCACAGTACCGGAGTTCGGTACGTTTGTGTTTACGCTGATCAAATTAACCAGATGTCGGGGTCAAGTGTTCTCGGATCCGGGTCGGGGGCCCGAGTGTGAAGCCACCCTTACGCTCGTCAGAACAGTTCTGATGGATGTCGGGAGACTCTTTGAGCTCCTCTCCACAGAAATGTGTCAACAACCTCTTAAGAACTACAAACTCCTCTGCAAAAATCCTCCATTTGGCATTTCCGGTAACCACGGTAACAATAGACCATGCGAGCACGAGTTTTGGTTTTCTCCTCATTTCTCGGAAATTGCTGCTAAACACAGAGGTGTGTTTCTCGTGTGTGCATCCTACTTTATACGTACGGCCATTTCCTTAGTGGAAGTGGTTAAAGAGCAGCGTCTTCCTTTCAACACACCGTGGTTTAACACTGCCTGGTCCATCACTTTACAAGTTGTGTCTCCACTACAGTTGCAGGTGAACAACTATTTGTTCCAATGAAAACAACCTCTGAGTTGACCGTAGTCATGACGACCAGGTGAAACCGACCTGATGAAGAGAACATGGTTACAGACGAGCTGATGTATCCGAGTATAATCTACATGAGGTTTTTATCACAGCAGCTCCAACAGCGACAGTACGACAGCTTTCAGTAGCAGCTCACGCTTCATTATGCAGCGATCTGTTTCCACGGCAACGGTTAACATGTCATGTCTGTCATGGCAGCGGTGATGGCAACACACGTCCTATTACAGCTCTAAAATTAAAAGATTTCTCTTCCTTTGATGACTGTTGGAAATATTACAGGTGATGTAAGTACTCAACGTACAAATTATTTTATTGAGATACTTTAGTGTAAAAAATCAGATTACTGAGGATGCAAACAAGAGAAAAAAGACCCTCTTCTATTCCAACTGACCACAAAAACCTCTGCGGTGAGATTTCTGCAGAACAGCGAGACAGGAAGTGAACCTTAAGACGCCCAGCATCCCCTTAAATCCTCTCATCACTCTTCAGCAATCGAAATCAACGAAAACATCACGATGAGCTTTTCAGCGATTCTACCTCTCCTTCTTCTTCTTCTTCTTCTTCTTCTTCATCCAGGATGTGAGTGTAAAAACATATATGAATCATTTCTTAAAGGTATAAAATTGTTGCCACCTTTCTCTTGAGCGTGTGTATGACATGTACCTGAAGTCCTGTTGTAACGATCGCTTCTCTTTGTCTTTTCATCCAGATGCTCTGATCTCAGTGACATCGTTTGGACTCGGGGAACCCGGCACTTTGACGTGTCCGTTGCCTGATTTTGAGTACAGCAACACTCGAGTGAAGTGGTACAAGCAGAGCGTCGGTGACACGCTTGTGCTGATCACTTCTCTGATGAAAGGGGCTGCAAATTCCAATTTTGAAAAATCGTTTCCTTCGTACCGATTTGAGGTGAACTTCACTGCGACCATGTGCTCTCTGACCATTCTGAAGACGGTGCCGGAGGACGAGGCGGTGTACCACTGTGCCATCTCTACCTGGAACAAGGATCATTGGAGTGGGACGTATTTGTCTATAAAAGGTAAAGCATGTCTGTTTCTTTGATACTCAATGTATTGTTCTTTTTTTCTTAGTAAGGTTTATTTTAGACTTTTTATTATAAATTTATTTTGGAGACAGGACAGTGGATGGAGTCAGAATTGGTGGAGAGAGAGAGAGAGAGAGAGAGAGAGAGAGAGAGAGAGAGACAGAGAGAGAGAGAGAGAGAAGAGAGGCAGAGAGAGACAGACAGAGAGAGAGAGAGAGAGAGAGGGGGAATGACATTCGA